CAATTTTTCCATTACCATAAAGGTGATATTGTAACGGTAAGCTCACATCAGGAGAAGAAACATCCATTTCTCTGTTTTTTTCATACTAGTACCTGATGTAGAAGCACAAACCCAGGATTTTAGGACTGATTTTTCTATAAAAACCAAGTACTACAATGGTTTAACATAAGGGACCTTGTTGATTAACAAAATTTAGAATTATTTTAAACTTTCTCCAACTCTTCAAGTATTATTATGTGTAAATCAACTATATATGGTAACTTTAATCATGGTATTTGTATTGAATCAATAGTTTCAAGAGCAACTATATGTGGAAAATGCATATATAAATCTAGAAATAGAAACCTGTCTAAATTTTCAGACAAAAGAATGTAGCTCTAATACTTCCAATAGAATGTGAATATAACAAAACTTCGTTAAACACATCAGTAACAAACCCATTAGCCCACATCAAAAAAGTCGTTAAATTTTTTTCTTCTCCTACAGTTTCTGAGTGACCAAACTGAGACAAACCCAGAATTTCATCAAACACAAAAACCCATTATGCCATGCGTCCAATAATACATCACCCCAATGAAATGTCAATCAATGTAATTTTGTAGCCCCGCCAAACGGCCTTTTTCGACTAAGTTTATGGCTTTAGACATTCAATTTCTGAAGAAATAGGTAGTCATGTACTATTTGTAACATTTGTTCTCTGTTTATTACAAATGCATTTCCTAGCAATATCTGAACTTAACACCTATTAAATTAGTATACAATTTCTTGCTTACATTGCTGCTAAAGAACCTGTATAAACTGAGATGTTGGACCATATATGAACTTCACTGTACTTATCAAAAAAGGAAAAACCAAAAATGGAGTTGATTGGAGTGCGTTTGAAGTAGGCAGTGGAGTTTAGGAATACTTAGTAGACCATAGACTTTGTTTTAAATTGCAAGTCTTTTAATCTATTTCATTTTACCGAAATCCATCAGGTCCCGTCTGGTGTGGGTAAGACATGTACATCCCGTCTGTCCCCACAAGTCCTATTTTGCATGAGAAAGCTACCCGTGGCATCCATAGAGGGGTTTAGGGGCTGCTTTGCATTTTTGCCCCCCAAACGGCCTTTTTCGACTAAATTTACGGCGTTTTTCACTCCAACTCCCAACCTACGTGCACTAATTATATCCCGTCTATCCCCACAAGTCCTATATGTCACAAGAAAGCTACCCGTGACATCCATCGAGGGGTTTAGGGGTTGCTTTGCATTTGCACCCCCCGAACGGCCTTTTTCGACTAAGTTTACGACGTTTCTTACTCCAACTCCCAACCTACGTGCACTAATTACATCCCGTTTGTCTCCACAGGTCCTCTATGTCAAGAGAAAGCTATCCGTGACATCCATAGAGGGGTTCGGGGGCTACTTTGCATTTTTGCCCCCCGAACAGCCTTTTTCGACTAAGTTTACGGCGTTTTTCACTTCAACTCCCAACCTACGTGCGCTAATTACATCCCTTCTGTCCCCACCAGTCCTATATATATATGCAAGACAAACTCCAAATAAACAAAGATCATTTCAAAAGGCATCCAGTTAGAAGCATCAATTACTTTGTATAAATTTTCAAGCAAAATTGGTAACCAGAAAAAAAAAAAATGAAAGAAGGAAAGAAGGAAGACAAAGCAACTAAAACTAATTACACAACAAATATCAAAAGGGCAAGCATTATCAAGAGCATCTGACAAACACAAAAATGAAACACTCACATCCACATAAATGAAATACTAATTACACTTATATGTGTGTTCTAAGTATGTATATTTTGCATCCATCTATACCATGCATTCTAATTTACCATTGCAAAAGTCAAAGTTACTTACCAATATAACACTATATGTATATATATTTTTAAATTTTTTTGTATGTGATGGGTTCATATGTGTTGATATTTTTGTGTATGTACTTGTATATATGGTTTACATATTTGTAATTTACATCAACTATATCATTGCTTTTTATCCTTTCTTTTGCAACAAGATAAACTTTATACATAGCCGAAAAGCTATGCAATAAGGCAAGCAATTTATCATCATGTGTCTCACTTTTAATTTTTTTATTTAACCATCCAATATATTCCTAACGTCACCAAGGAAAAAATAAGCAAACCATAAAGAATGAATGATCAAATAGCAAGCAAATGTTTTCATTGTCTGCTAAGGAATACTCTCAAATCACCTATACAGCCCCCAAGTCACCTATACAGTTGTATGATGCACAAGTTATGCATAATAACATAGTAAGTGTGCATTTAGTTATTGCTAAAACATTAACTACAAACAAGCTTTAAAATATTCTGATATTGAAGAGAATGTAATTATAACAAACTAAAGAAGTACTAAATTTTCTTAGCAAATAATTATCAGACAAGAAAGAAAATGGAGAAGTGTTAGGAGGAGATGGAAAACATAGAAAGGGAATTGACAGCTAAACCTAGGGGACACATAATTTTGCCACAATGAGCAAAGCAATTTGCAACTCACATTGAAAGACCTATAAGAATACAACTTAATAACAATAAGGGAGGGAATCGGGTGTGGGAATGAAACTTTTTCTTTGAAATTGCTTTGAACTGGACGGTTGGTTAGTTCAATTCTTACCTTTGAAACCTCAAGGTGCCATATTATCCAGCCCTTACCTTTGATACCTTGAAAACCTAAGTTCTGGAACCTAAGCCCCAACCTCAAGCACCTACAATTCTTGCTGCTAGAATTCCCAGAGTTTCTCTATAGCATAAAAGTCCAGCAACCTCACACATTTCATTTTAGACCCCAAAAACATCCCTGAAGTATTAGCAATTTGATATTTAATCCATCTTTACAGTTGTATTTCACCTTTTCAAACATCATGTTATCCAACTTTTGTTTATCAAAAAAAAAAACCCCTAAAAACTAGAGCCTTAGCCTAAAATTCTCATCGAGAAGACAAACGAGATAAAGGAGGAAACATTACATCTGGTGCCTCCAATCCATCTTTATTCTTTAGTATTAAATGGTCAGTTTTATAGTATTCCAAGTGGTGATGCAAGTAGTTTTTCAATCTTTTCATTCTTTTCTAAGAGTAGGTTTTTTAAACCAAGGAGTCCCTCATTGCCATGGATATGGAAACCTTATCCTGCATGTTGAGAAGTAACAGAAGCCCTTATAACAAGTGAAGCATAAAACCAAAGTTGGCAGGAAAAAATCATTTGCAGTGCTTAAATAATGTTCATGTCCCCCAAGAGCATCATATGAAACACATAATTCATCTTTTGACATTAGAATTATGCATGCAAAACCTTGACCAAATGCAAAATGAAGAAAAATAGTGGAAGTTAAATAAAGGGGCACTTACCAATCAAGCTGCAAATCTTGCAAAGTTCTGTTTAGTGCCTCTGGTACATCTTCTGGAGCATGATCACTACACCTGCATATCATTACATTTTTTAGTAGAAATTAGAATCACCTTTGTGTTTCAGAAAAGATGAGACGTGAGAGACTCTAAACAGAGAGTAAAGCAACACTATACTATCATCTCAGCATACGCAAATACATATATATAATGATCTCTTTAATATTTTAATACCAGATTTAAGCAAAATAAAGATTGATTCAAACCAGAGTTTGAAGATAATAAACAAATCCTTGCATTTCGCGGTACCATCTTCAAACAACTTCTCCAAAACCAAACCAATCTAAAAGGAAAAAAAAATAGAAAAACAAGATCAATGCCTCCAAAATTGTTGGTAACGAGATGTAATGACCAAAAGTGGTTGTTATCGGTAAGAGGTAGTCGGCAATGGTTAAAGGTGATTATTGGCCACAATGAATGTTCAGTCAACCGGTTAAAGTAGTAATTGAAAGTGATTTTCAACAGAAAGTGGTGGCCAAAAATGTTTACTGCCGGTAAGAGATAGTTGGTGGCAATGAAAAGTGGTTGGCGATAGAGGGATGTGATAGCCAAAGGTGGCTGACGAATGAAGTCATTGTTGGTGATAGTAGTTGATAGTGATGAGAATGAATGACAACGAGGTGTGTTTGGAGCAAATTTGCCATCCTCGGCCCCCACCTCATATCATATCAGGGGCGGAGATATGTTAGTTTTGTAATTTTAAAAATAAAAAATTAATAAAAATAAAAGAATATAATATATTATAGATAACAATTTATAATTAATGAGAGTTAAAATATGTAATATGATAAATTGAAACACATAATTCATCTTTTGACATTAGAATTATGCATGCAAAACCTTGACCAAATGCAAAATGAAGAAAAATAGTGGAAGTTAAATAAAGGGGCACTTACCAATAAAATATATTTAATAAATAAAATTGAGGCTAGAACGGGAGAGCAATAAGTGGTAGTCGAAAAAAGTAGGAGAAAAAAGAAGAAATGAAAAAAAAAATTAAACAGAAAACAAAAACAACTTTTTTATGTTTACAAAATTTAATAAATTTTTTAAACTATTTATAACTTTTTAAAAATAAAAACAAAAATCAAATAAATTTTATTTATAACTTTTAAAAATTCTATAACTATATAAAAAAATCATAATAAATATAAAAGTTACCAAACATATATGAAATGAATAATATTATATATACCAATTAGTATATTAACTAGTGTAGTAACAAAAAAATTTAATAAATTTTTTAAACTATTTATAACTTTTTAAAAATAAAAACAAAAATCAAATAAATTTTATTTATAACTTTTAAAAATTCTATAACTATAAAAAAAATCATAATAAATATAAAAGTTACCAAACATATATGAAATGAATAATGTTATATATACCAATTAGTATATTAACAAATAATGTGACATAATTTTAAAAATTTTGAATATTTATAATTTATAACACTAATTTATATATTAATTAATATAGTAATTGGTATATACAGTACCACTGATATTAAAATGACTATCGAATAGGAGGGTTATTGTCAAAAAAAAAAAAAAAAAGAAAAGAAAAGGTTATTGTCAAAATCCGGAAATTTAAAAGATTCTGCCACATCAACCACAAGAGTTGAACCAATAGGCGAATCTGGCACGAGTCGGCCACACTCCCGGAAATTTGAGAACTCTCTCTCTCTCCCTCACTGTTGGAGTTACGAGGCAAGTTTTCCGACCTCGCACATGATTTTTTCTTGATTTATTTCTTGTTTAATTTCTCTTTTTCAAATTCGATTTGTGTCTTTTATCGTGTTTGATCGGTCGTACTGAGTTTCATCTAGTTTTCAAATGCTTTCATGGAATTTCACGTTTGCAGAGGTATTAGGTTTCAGATTTTGATATGAATGATGGGAAATGATACCATGGTTGTTTGCTAAGTTTGGTTCTTCATTAACTTTTTCTGTTTACGAAAACGAAAAATCATTTTTGTTTTTTAAAATAAAAATTGCAAGTTTTCATTCTTTTAATGCTAATAATAGACATGGACGCACCGAACTGAGTTCAATACCAATTTTCAATTTTGGAATCTAACTAATAAGTAAATAACATCAAAAATAATTAAGTCCATGCAATTTGACATTTTTTTTTTTCAATACCCAATTCGAGCAAATATTTCTGCAGATTATGTAAATTTAAGTTCCTAGTAGACCTATATTCCACATGCTATTGTAAGCCTTAAAGGGTAATCTTTATTATGAATAATATTTCTAGTTGTGTGCACAATGCTTAAGATTAGTGTTTATTGTTAGGAGTTGTTAGACATTGTATGTGGCACTGTTGATGATGTACAAGCCGATGGCTGTATCTGATATATCCCTCTGGCATCCCGGGACTAGTTATTGTTCTAAAGAATTCCAGGATTCATTTTTTTTGTTTTACTGATGTACCCTATATTTTTCGAGTTGGTTGTGTTACTTGTTTCTCGAATGTAGTGCATCACTGCGTAAGAAAAGATCAGCGTAGTTGTGCTTGGAAAATGCTAATACTCGGTAGCTTCTCCAAGTATTGATGTAAACTGGCTTGTTTAACTTCTCAGTCCTTCTGACAATGGTTCTGAATTTTATTTTAGTTTTAAAATTTCTCACTAAGGAACTGGAATTGATTTGTGGATATTTCAGAAGATTTAGGAATATAAAATTTAAGCTACAATTTGGGGTTTAATTTAGGCTTCTCTGGGCATGGTCCATGCTGCCAGTTATCCATGCATGCCATAGAGGAAAGATCCTTTTTGTTAGTGATGAAGAACTATGTTACATGGACTCTTCAAAATAAATCAAATACCCGTGTCGGACACTCGACACTCGGACAAGGGTATGGGATATGTGTCGGATACTTTTCAACGGATACTTTTTATATAATTGTATATAACACCATTATTATACGTACATATTGTTGTATAATTGCTATAAATGTCATTTTGACACTATAAGTTAAATATAGTACCATTTTATCTCACATATTAGATTAAAAATATAAAAATATGACATTTTTTTGCCAAGTCCGCGTATCCTTAAATTTATGATTTGATGAGTCCGACCTCTAAATACATATCCGCACCGGACACCTGTACCCGAGTCCATGTAACATAGATGAAGAATATAAATTATGCTTCCTATTTTACCTGTAATTTTGTGTTTTTCCATATTATGTTGCTCAAATTTCATGAATTTCTAAATAAGAGTGTTGATTTCAAGATCTCTCATGGGAGTTCTATCTTCACCTCCTTGGGAATATTAGAGCATAAATCAGGCTTTTCTGAATTCTATACTGACGGTATTTCATGAATAAAAAAGGTAACATGAGATCCAATTGTATGGTTGCATTACTGGAGCACAATTGTATCTGCATTTTGATGTAACTGCGGATGAACTGCTGCTCCAGTTGATAATGAAGATAAAATTACTCCTTTACATAAAAATTTTCCTCCTATTTTCTTCTATCCTTATAAACATATTCTCCTCCCTTCTAAGAAGCACTAGCATGGGCATGGACACGTGTCATGACACGAACACGCAAACATGCATATTTTTTAAAAATGCAGAACACGGCATGGAGACATGTACAAAAAATATAATTTTATATATTTATTATATGTCATATTTCTAAATATTTTATTTTTATTTTATTTCAAATATTTAATTTCATTAAATTCTTCAACCTTGGGTATGCTATTTTGGTAAATTTTTCTTATTTAAGAAATGGTTCTTAGCGTGTCCTAGCATGCCCGACACGCTTCCAGCCTGTGTCCGTACCTGACACATGTCGAACACCTGCATGTGACCTCCGGAGAGGTGTCCGTGCTTCATAGCCTCCCTTGAAATAATTTGTTAGAAATTTATGTGATTATGTTGTGTTACAGTTTCATATTGACACTTCAATACTTGATAGTAGGTTTCTTTGATCTCATGAATCATGACATTTATGTTCAAAATTTTCAGACAAGTTAAATTGTTTTGGCAGTCTATTTTGCAGGTTGGATGATATTTATTGGAGGTGGATACTGGCGTAGAGATGACGATGGGTTCATCCTCAATTTGTGTGGTTACTAATCAGGCAACACTTTCAAATTATGTAATTAGCCCTTCCCCGCAAAGCATGATGCATGCATAATTTAATGCATTTAGTGTGCCCTTATATATTAAATCCTTGCATCGCAGAGAAACTTCTTCTCTATGCAACTAAACTTTCTTGTGAAGTGATTGCTGTGGGGAACTATGGAAGCTAGGCTGCATATGGGTTGTCATCTGAATTGAGCAGTCAAACTTATTGTTCCACCAACACTGATGAACTCTTGTATGCACTGTTTGAAAGGAAGCCACTTAATACACTTGTAGCATAGAGATGAGCTTCACATTAGAACAGGCCTCTAAGAAGCACGGACACGGATGCGGATGCGGATGCGGACACGAGACACGGTGATTTCAAAAAATGGGTACACCGACATGACAGGGACATGGCAATAAAATATGTTTTCATATATTTTTATTTGCTATCTAGATTAATATTATATCCACAAATAATTATTATTAACAAAAACTAACTCTAATTTTATATTTAAAAAAATTAAATTAAATTAACACTTATAGTTTATATCTTTTTCTATGAATGATCTATTAAGTATTTAAATTTAAGAAAAAAATAATAACCATTCAACATTCATCAAAAGTACTAAATAAAATGGGAGAAAAGACAACTTGGCATGTCCCCAGTGGGTTCCCGAAGTGCCCCCGGCGTATCCTCTAAAAATAAATTAATTAAATGAGAGGACACGCCATGTGGTGTGTCCCATATGTGTCCCTGCCGTGTTTGTGTGTCGCCGAAGTGTTCGTGTATCCAAGTCGACACAGATACAACACTTGTTTTGAAGTGTTGACGCTTCATAGAGAGTCCTGCTCTGCCTTTGCTTTTGTTTGAGAAGTCAATGTGATTTGTAGCATGCTTCTTTTTGCTCACTCTATTTTCCTTATTGATTTTCTTTCCTAACTAGATTCTATCTTTGTTCTTTTGTGATAGATTTGGATGGAGTGTTGTATTTTAATACATAAGAGAATACAACATGCTACATGCCCAGTCAGATTTCTAGTTCAAACGTTTTGGATGAAGTTGTGTATGTCTTAAAGCAACGTAAATGAATGATTGACATGTTTTTTAGTTCTGCAGGTTGTAGCCTAAAGACCTTTTTAAAAAATGGAGATACTTGTAGAAGAGAGCACAGTTATAGGTAGAGATTGCAATGGCCATGTAGGAATTGATAAATTAGGTTATGAGATGGTGCATGGTGGGTATGGTTTTCGTAATAGAAATAAGGCTAGAGGGAGTATTTTAGATTTTGTGTTAGTTTCTGACCTAGTGGTGGCCAATACTATATATAAGAAAAGAGATGAGCATTTGATAACCTTTAAGAGTGGGTCAATTAGGAGCCAAATAGATTACTTTCTAGTAAGAAAAGTGGACTATCTAAAATGCAGCAACTATAAGGTGATTTCTAGAGAGAGCTTGATGTCTCAACACAGGATCTTGGTACTAGATTTATGCTTTAAGGGATAATACCAAGCTAAGAAGGATATTGGGTGTCGTACGACGAGATGGTGGGACCTAAAAAGGGATTAGCTGGAAGTATTTAAGAATATAATGAATATAGAAGATACTTGGAACTTGGATGATGATGCTAACACTATGTAGAACTCGATGGCCAATTGTATGAGGGAATCTCAAGAGAAGTCCTGGGAGAGTCGAAAGGAAAGGGACCCAATTCTAAGAAAACTTGGTGGTGGAGGGAGCAGGTTCAAATAGTACTAAAGACGAAAAAGGAGTGCTTTAAAAAGTGGCAGAATGATAGAACTGAGGAAAACCTTAAGAGTTACAGATTGGCTAATAGGGAGGTCAAAAAAGTAGTAAGAGAGGCTAAGTTGAAAGCCTAGGATGACCTATACACTAGACTAGATAGTAAGGAGGGAGAGAAGAGAATATACAAACTTGCTAAGATGAGAGAGAGGAAAACAAGAGATTTTAATCAGGTCAAGTGCATCAAATTGAGGACTCTAAGGTGTTGGTGAAGGAAGAAAAGATTAAGGAGAGGTGGAAGAACTATTTTGAGAAGTTAAATGAGGAACATGGATGAAGGTCAAAAGGGGGGGAAGTAGCCAGTAATAAGGAAAACCAAGACTACAGGTTCTATCACAGGATTAGGAACTTTGAAGTGGAGATTGCACTTAAGAAGATGAAATCGAATAAAGCTTTAGGACTCGATAATATTCCTATTGAAGCTGAGAAATGTTTGTGTAAAAAGGGGGTTGCTTGGTTGACTAGTTATTTCAGAAGATTTTATTGACCAGGAAATTGTCAGAGCAGTGGAAGAAGAGTATTTTAGTGTCAATCTATAAGAATAAAGATGATGTCCAGAATTGCAACAACTATAGAGGAATCAAGCTAATGTGTCATATAATGAAAGTGTGGGAGAGAGTGATGGAACGTCGATTGCGAGATATAATAGAGGTGTTAGAGAATCAATTTGGTTTATGCTAGGTAGGTCAACAATGAAAGCAATTTATCTTTTGAGGAGAGTAATAGAAAAGTATAGAGAGAAGAAAATAGACATTCATATGGTTTTTATCGATCTTGAGAAAGCATATGATAGAGTGACTTGGGATATAATCTAGTGGGTGTTAGAGAAGAAATGGGTGACAAGAGGGTACATTGATGTGATTAGGGACATGTAAGGTTTCAAAATGCGGTGTTACGTAACGGTTGTGGCCATAGGCACTACGCGTTACTCCTGCCTTTGCGCTGTGATTGAGATTCACAGGTGTGTTGGCCGTAGCGGCTGTCGTAGCGTCTGTAGCGGTGCCATAACGGCCGTTGCGGCCCGTTACGTAACAATTTGGAACTGTTTCTTTCGAAAAAAGTTGGAAAAAAAAAGCTGAAAATGGGAGAAATAGGTCTAGGTTGAACGCCTCAAGTGCGCATCTTGCGCACTGAACATTTATTTCCAGGGAGGCCTAACTGGATTACCAAAAAAATAAAAGGAAAAATGGGAAACAAAGGAAACTTGGCTTAAATGCTTCGAATCAAAGATACATACCAAGAGATACAATTCTTTCGCTTATACAATTGAAGTATAATTCAAAATTCGAAGAAATCTGGGCTGCGATCTTCGATGTTTAGGGTTTTGCAGGTATCTTTTGTCCTCTCTCTCTCTCTCTATCATGTTCTTTGTCTCTATTTTTTTCTCTCGTTGGGTTGTCTCTCTCTCTCTCTATATATCTTTGGGTATAGAGTGAGGCTCTTTGACTTCTTGATAATGACTGGTCTTTATTATAATATAATGGCATTTATGTATTTATTATTTAAAGCTCTCTCTGTTGCTCTTTCCAACATTCCCCAGAACCTTCATAATTTAATAAAAGAGAATGACCCTTAGTATTATCTTTATTTGAAATCAATAGCTATCTTTATTATATTATGTATAGGTCTGTGTTTAGAAATTCAATGACACTTTTTAAGATCATTTTTTTACAGGTTATTATTTTAAAAACTATTTATGTTATAATTAATTTATTTTATATTTTATAAAAGTTAAAAAAAAAAAATCCAAAACTCAAAAAGCTTATTTTTTAATAAACTATTTGTGTCAATTTTTGTTGATTAGTTTATTTTATTTTTATTTACAGGTTATTTAAAAAGAGAATGAATATTCAAGTGATCTAAATTCAAAAAAAAAAATCTTTAAAATTTATTTTTTAATTTTTATGTGATTACATTAGCATGTATAATTTATTTTTTAAAACTATTCAAGTTAAAATTTGCATATACTTCCACAAGTACAATAATTAAAAATAATAATTTTATACATCTAAGTCTAATAATTTTTTTTTTTTAAGTTCTTTTTATTTTTATTTTTTGCACATCTTTTCGTAAAAAATCAAAAATTCATCCCAAACATATTATTTTTTTTAGCTCATATTTTAGCCAAATAGTAAAAAAGTTACTAAATTAGCCTGTTCCCAAACGAGGCCTAAGACTCTGTTTGATTTTGATTTCAAAATATAGTTCTATCATTGATTTGAGTGTGGTATTTAGTTGCATCTTTCAAATCATAATTCTACACTCATTTCTCAAAACTCAATTCAAAACATAATCATTACTTTTCAAAACTCATAACCAAACACATAATTCAAAACTCTTTTCAAAACTCAATTCAAATCAATATTTTAATTTTGTTAAGATTTTAAATATTTTAATATTTAAATATGTTACGATTTTTTTAATTTTTTAATTTTTTGAATATTTTTAAATATTACGATTCTAATGTTTTAAATTTTAAAATATTTTATAAAAATAAATTCAAACTCTATTTTATAAAAAGATTTCTAAATATTTTAACTTTTTTTGTTACGTATTTGGTTACGATTTAAGTGTAGAGTTGTGAAAGTAGTACGGAGTTTCGAGTTATGTGTTTGGTTATGAGTTTTAAAAATAATTTCTTAATTGAGTTTTGTTTTAAGAATATTTAAATTATTTAAATTTTTACGATATAATTTTTTTGAATATTTATTTTAATTTTTTACTTATTAAATTTTTTAGATTATTTAAATTATTTAAATTTTTACGATTTAAATTTTTTGAATATTTATTTTAATTTTTTACTTATTAAATTTTTTAGATTATTTAAATTATTTAAATATTTATGATTTAAATTTTTTGAATATTTATTTTGAATTTTTTTTTTATTTCCTTTGTAGTATTTTTAATTAAAAAATTGATTAATGTTATTTTCTGTTAATAATAAATATTTTTAATTGAATTTTAAAAAGAGTTTGGTTATGAGTGTTGATCAGAATTTTCAATAGTGTGAAAGTAGTGTGTTTTGTTATGAGTTATAATAATTTGAATTAAGTTTTAAAAACTCTTTCCAAAACTCATAACCAAACAAATTTTCTTACTTCACATGTCAAATCAAACTTTCAAAATTCAATTCCATACTTAATTCAAAACTCAATTCAACACTCTATTCAAAAATCATAACCAAACAAATTTTCTACACTCAAATCATAATTTCAAAATACACAAACTCAAAAAACAACTCATATTCTCAAATCGTAGTTAGAAAGTCTTACCAAACGGAGCCTTAGTTTATAGTGATTAAAAATATGAAATATATTGGATCATATTTAAAAAATTACAAAAATTGATCAATATTTATTTTAAAACCCAATAAATATGATTATAGAAAGGAAAAAATCTGCGTATCGGTAAGTTTTTTTCAAATTGTGTGAAGAATAAAAAAATTCACGATTCCGGTTACCATAACCGTTACGCTACGGCCTTTACACCTCGTAACTGTAACCACAACCACGTCACCGCCACTGTTACGGCGACCGCAACCGCCTTTTAGGACCTTGGGGACATGAATGAAGGTGTGGTGATCACTATTAGATCACCTGCTGAAGAGACAAGTGAATTTTCAATTACTGTGGAGTTACACCAAAGATCAATCTTTAGCCCTTATCTTTTTGCTTTAGATATGGATGAGTTGATGAGAAATGTTCAGAATGATATGCCATGGTGTCTGTTTTTGCAGATGATATTATATTAGTAGATGAGATTAGAGAAGGAGTTGACACTAAGCTGGAGACGTGGAGATAAACACTTGAATCTAAAAGATTTAGGATAAGCAGAATAAAAATAGAGTATATGGAGTGTAATTTTAAGAGTGAATATTTTCGTTATTTAGGATCGATCATCACAACAGTAGGGGAGATTGGAGCTGATGTGGTCCATAGAATTAAGGCAGTGTGACTTAAGTGAAGGAGTGCGTTTAGGGTACTGTGTGATAAACGAGTATCCACTAGACTAAAAGGAAAGTTCTATAGAACGGCTATTAGACCAACAATGTTGTATGGGACGGAATGTTGGACAACTAAGAAACAACATGCAGATAAGATGAGTGTTGCTAATATGAAGATGCTAAAGTGCATGTGTGGTTAGACTAAAAAAGATAGAATTAAGAATGAGTATATTCGTGAATGGGTAGAAGTAGCATCGGTTGAAGATAAGTTGAGAGAGAATAGATTGAGATGGTTTGATCATTTACAACGGAGGCCAACAGAGGCAATAGTAAAGAGATGTGATACAGTGCGATAGATAGAAGTGTTAGGGGAAGGGGTAGACCTAGATTGACGTGGGCGCGTGTAGTAAATAGAGAAATAAATCTTCTTAGTTTGACTAACTAAATGGCCATTGATAGAGTCAAGTGGAGGAGAAGGATTCATGTAATTGATCTCATTTGATGGGACTTAAGGCTTGGTTTGGTTACAAAAGGAATTCAAAAATGTTTAGGGGAGATGGAAATATTAATGATGACTACGGCCCAGAATAATCTTGTAGTATTGTTTTTCCAATCCACTAAGCCTATGTCAGTGTCTCTCTCAAGTAGAGCTCTGTTTACCCAATATTGTTAATGAGTCTTAGTTCTCTTTTTATTTTACTTTATTCTGTTTTATGTGTGGCAATATTCCTCTGTTTAAGCTACTCTGCCTGAATATACCGCTTCTCAGGAGCTGCAATTCAATTCTGTTAACGTGTTTGCTGAGCCTGGGTATATTCCTCATTTACAGGCCATTCAGACAGCTAATACCTCAAATTTTAGATCCACCAACTTTTTGGGGAAGTTCACTTATCAGCCATCTATACTTCACTTAAAAGAGCTAGTTTTTAGGGATAAAATTGCTCAACTCTTAAAAAGACAACGAAGAAACCCAGCTCCGACGACGATTGTCTTTGCTATTCCAAATGAGAATGATGAAGCTGAAAGAGGCATTTCTCATACTTTCACTGATGATCAGATGCTTACAGCTTCAGAGAATAATGGGAATTTTAAAGATCCTGGGGATGAAGTTGTTGCTAGCTTATCACAGTTAGGATCAGGCCTCTCTCAAAATGCTGTTAGCCTGGAGAACCAAGCAGACCTTCTTGATAAGCTAAAGGCTGTTCAATTACATGTATTAGCAATGGAACAATGGAATGCTTCTCGACTTAAACTGTGTCACAGGTACATCTATACTGTTTCATGGCTAATAAAATGGTTAATGTTGATGGAATTTTTTCATCATTATTGATAATCTCCTATGGGTTTTTTTTAACTGGAACAACTATTAAGCATGCATCACCATCCATTGATGTTACCCACCATCTCTTTAAGGAATATTTAGACTGAATCCTATACTATTTAGTTATTGATAGATCTATTTATTTATTATGTCTTGTTTCATGCTTTATGTTTGCCACTAATTGAAAGTGCTTGATTCGTGTGCCCTCATGGAAGTGTTGTGGCCGCAGAATTTCACAATCTCTTGCTTCATATTGGTAATATTGAATTCATCTCCTAACTATTCACACTTGATTGCAACATTGCTGTGATGATTAATTTGTGCTCCATATACAAGGTGTTTATTGATTTAATGCTTTTTGCTGACAACATATGAATGTTTTGAGACTTCTAATGCTGGCAGGTAATATCTTATTATGTATGCTTAGATTTCTTAATTGTCTAATAATTTTGTTGAAATCATGATGTCAATGAAAGTTTAAAATATTGGGAGGTGAAGAACTAGAATGCATTGTAGAAACAAATTCCAATATAATGTTTTTAATATTTTTTTCTTCTTTATTAGTTTATTTGTGTGGTGCGAATTTGCAAGTGCCTAATTCATGGTTTGCTTGTAGCAGAAAATATTTGGTGAGTGCTGCAAACTTAATACATTATTTGGCATTAAAATGCCTTGATGTTGAGCAGCTTAAAGAAGATCTTTCTTCCATTGGACTTCTGAATTTAGAGACCATTAATTCCCATGTCCTTGCAAGTCTTTCTGCTGGTACGCAGATGTTAGAAAACTTGAAATCTAACTCTTTAGATAGAAAAGAGAGTGTAGTTGAAGGGATTTTCACTCAAAAGAGTTTGGATATACAAAAAAAGGGGGAATTCACAATTAATGTAATGAGGGAAAAGGCCTGCTTTAATAGGGAGTCGCTATTGGGTCCACTGCAAGAAGAGAGAACTACTCATATCATGGTAACAGTTGGCCAGGAAGTGCTAGAAAGTGAAACACTTATAACTGATCTTGTCACAACCGGAACCACTATTATCCGTATCAACTGCGCACATGGAAACCCAAGTGTATGGAGTGAGATAATCAGAAGGGTGAAAAGAAGTTCTCAAATGCTGGAGAAACCATGTCGAATTCTCATGGATTTAGCTGGACCAAAGCTCCGAACAGGTAAGCTGAAGGCTGGTCCTTGTGCAATGAAAATATCTCCTAAGAAGAATGCTAGAGGAGAAGTGATCTTCCCTGCTCAAGTTTGGCTGTGTCCCAAACAAGCAGGCCCACCACCTGCTAATTTATCTCCTGATGCTGTCATCTCTGTAGATGGTCAAGAATTTCTCAGTAAGCTTGAGTTAGGTGATGCTGTGAAATTTTTTGATGCTAGAGGAAAGCAAAGGATACTAAAGATCTCGCAGAAGTTTCCTGTGTTTTCTGGTGTTGGGTTGATGGCAGAGTGTTCAAAGACTGCTTATGTGCAGTCAGGAACGGAATTGTATATTAAGGGAAAGAAAGGGAAGTTCACTGTAGGACTCATGGTAGATATCCCCGCTGTAGAGCCGTTTGTCAGATTGAGAGTTGGAGACTTGCTAATCATATCACGAGATAGCTCAGATGATCAAATTGCATCAACTGGAGCCACAATTGGTGCTCACAAGATAACTTGTTGTTCTGGGTATCTTTTTGATTCAGTGAAACCTGGACAGCCCATTGCTTTTGATGATGGTAAGATATGGGGTATGATACAAGGAACTAGTATTTCAGAGATTATTGTGTCAATCACTCATGCAGGTCTGAGAGGTACTAAACTTGGCTCAGAAAAGTCCATTAACATCCCAGAGAGCAATATTCGGTTTGAAGGCCTCACTTCAAAGGATCTCAAGGATCTTGATTTTGTTGCTTCTCATGCTGATATGGTGGGGGTATCATTTGTTCGAGATGTTCGTGACATCATTGTGCTTCGCCAAGAGCTTGAAAAACGGAGACTTCAAAACTTGGGGATTATTTTAAAAATCGAGACAAAAGGAGGGTTTGAGAACTTGCCCCTTATGTTATTGGAGGCCATGAAGTCCCCAAATCCTTTAGGGGTTATGATTGCCAGGGGAGATCTGGCAGTGGAGTGTGGGTGGGAAAGGCTGGCTGATATACAGGAAGAAATTATATCCATTTGTAGTGCTGCTCACATACCAGTCATCTGGGCAACTCAGGTGCTGGAGTCGCTTGTCAAGTTTGGTGTGCCCACAAGAGCTGAGATTACTGATGTGGCCAGTGGAAGGAGGTAAGTAGATGTGTTGATGCTTTCTTATCTTGATTGTCTGATGCTTCATTTGTTTGCTAAAAAAAGAGTGGGATTAATGTTTTGCAACACAAGATATCTGAATATTTTGGGTCAGCCAAAGCACAAAGCACAATTCAACTTAGCCTAATGTGTTGAATTTATTGTTATAGGCAGGAAACATAAAATCCAAATGCTAATTTTTTGAACAGATAATTATCCTAAAGAAGTTATCCTTTGGAAATTGATATTATTTTATTTATTTTTTTTTTTAATGCTTGACTAGATGAATATGCAAATTTGTTAATTGGTATCGTTGCAACCAATTTTTTGACTTGTCCAATAACAGCGACTTTGCATAGGTATTGCAAAGGCTAGGTCTTCAGACTCTGTTATTTACCCGTTGCTCATAATTGACAGGCAGCAATACTGTGTCATGTGCCCCTTTTATATTTCTTGGTTTGGTTTGGAAAGCTATCATACCTTAATAGCTGAATAAGGACAACAATTGAGGATTACCAGTTTTTCTTTGGCAGGTCAAGTTGCATCATGTTGAACAAAGGGAAACATATCCTCGAAGCTGTATCGACATTGGATAACATTTTGCATGGCAACTCTACAAAGGTGAAAGCTGAATTAAGGCCTCTGATAATATCCAATCACCTATTTTAATTCATTTTATCGTCTCTGGCTATTTTGGTTGTGTTCCCAGCCGTCTGATTTCCATGTATGATAACACCACCAAGAGTTTTTTTTTTTTTTTTGCTCCTATGTAATCTAGGAAACTTAAGGCTTGGTTGGATTTGGTTTATGTGATCTAGGGAACTTAACAATATTTTAGATACCTGAGGCTCTACGTAATCTATTTTAGATACCTGAGGCTCTGTACATACATAATTTTTGTAATCTAGGGAATTTTATCTACTTTTTGGATGGGTTTGTAGGTGCAATTTTGCCAACTCAAATGGTTGAGGGTTGCTGCTGTGGCCCAAGGCACAGCAGGACTGTTGTGACTTGTTTTTGGAGTTTTTTGCGAGTTTCTTTTGATTATTCGAACAGTTCATATTGTACGATTCGTTGAGCAAAACATCCATGAAAAAATCAAAATTATTCGGATATTTGTAACCTGATGATCAAGTTTTAATTATTTTTAAAAAATTATTAAGGCCTAGTTTGGGATCTTCCAAAAAGATAAAAAAACAAAAAGTTACTAAAAAAGTTAAAAAGCTATCAATATTCATCAAAAACAAAATTATAAACAAATTATTTTTATACAAAAAAAGTACAACTCACTCTGCCGTGAGTTTCCTTTTGCTGACTTTGTTGAAAATAAATTACAGACAGAGGCAAGCGTAAAGACGGTGCTGTTCGGGTTGTGTGGGGCCATCACGGGTCCCATTTTGATAATCTGAACCGTTCAATGTGTAGAACTCGTCGAGTACTTTAAGTTTAAAAAAAATCACATTGATTAGATATTTCTAACTACATGATCAAATCAGTTTTGTATAAACAAAATGGATGGTGCTATAGTAAACAATTGAAAAGAAAATTATCCGATCAGATAGCTATCGATATCTGATCAATGTGATTTTTCACAAGTATATAGTATTTAACGAGTTCTACATATTGACGGTTCCAATTAGCAAAAAAAGACCCGTGGTGGGTCCCCACGGACCGAATAACACCGTCCATTCAATGGCGAAAAGAAGGGAATCATCATTTTAGGCTACACGCTGCACGCCGTCCCTTATCTCATGGTACCGTACAACCTATTTTATTTCAATCTTTCCTTATATACTAATTTATATAATTTTTTAATACACATTTTTTCATAAAAAGTCAAAAAGTTATCCCAAACAACCATATTTTTCCCCTCAACTTTTTAATCCAAAAAGTCAAAAATTACACTTATTTAGGACACCCCAAACAACCCCTAAAACTGTGTTAACCGTCTATTTTTAAAAAAATGAATGTGCTCTTGTTATTAGCTATGTTACATGAACTCTTCTAATTCTCCCACGGTACTCGTGTCCACCGGATATGACATAGGTAAGAGTATGAGATATGTGTCCGATACTCATATCTAATTTAGACACTCAAATCCTTTAATTTGTGACAATACATAAAAAAAGAAGAAACTCACATTTGTTGGTAAAGAAATATTTTTACCCTCTCACAAGAATTAGATATAAAAATTTCATATATATTTTTTTTAATCTTATTTAATTTTTAGTATATTTTTACATAATTTACAACATCTCATCCAATAATATTATATAATATGTAATATATATATATATATATATATGCATATGACGTGTTCCCGTACCCATATCCAAATTTGGATATGTATTCCAAAACCTTAAAATTTAAATTTATGAAAGTCCGACCCTTAGACATATACCCATACCTAATACTCGTACTCGAGTCTATATAACGTAGGTTATGAGACTACATATATCCAATCAATTTAATTTTTTATATGAATGATTTACTCGATGAACCTTACGATACGAACGGTTTGGATCATTCAAAAAGGTTCGGGACAAGGCCCCATAGCTGCTCACGGATCCCCAACTCCACTATTCCATGGTCCTAGAAGCAAAAGTGGATCTGCTTAACCAGTACTGGCAGCAGCTGCATAACAATGAAATTGAAATGCATTGGCTTAACCTCAACAATACCGAGGAACTGCAATTGCAAGACCGGATTCGCAAACTAGAGCAAGAACTCAATTCTCTTTCGAGACAAATAGAGTAGAATTCCAGCTGAGTGGTCATGACTTTTGATACTAGGTGGTTAGTATTACAACCATTATCCTGGGCACTTGGGTGTGGTTATTCCATTTCAGTAACACTTCCGTATTATACCTCAGGGAAGAATGCCATGTATTATAATCTGCCAATGTTATCAGGGCCAAATTCTGGATTCACAGTTAGTTGCCATGTGCTCATTGTCAAAGCAAAATTGCAGCCAAACTAATGGTTTAGTTATAGAAACTTGAACATGCAACAGGGAACGATATTTCAAGTTCTCCAATTATTATCAATGATCATGGAATGGCATTCTTTCGTCTCTGTTGCTGCAAGTCAAACTCACCCTGAATTCAGATTCATCACAAGTAGGGTTGTAAAATAAATTAAACTAATCAAGTTCAACTCGATAAAAATTCATTTAAGATCACCTCGTTAAAACTCGTTTGAAATCAGCTCGTTTTGTATACAAGCCAAGTTTTAATACATTTTAAAAGTTTGCCAAGTTTTCAATTCATGTTTGAATAACTCTTGCTACTCAATTTGACTCAGTTATATGCACCAAAAAAATTTGAACTGCTCAAGCCTGGCACATGATGGACTCGACTATAGCTCATTTGAGATCAACTTAAAGGTAAACAAGCATAGTTTATACATATTTTGAAACTAGTAAAGTTTTCAAATCAATCTTTAACAATCTACCAATGGACTTGATTCGATTCATTTACCACCCTAAGCCACAACATATACACACCCTGAAGTATTTTTCTAAGAGGACTACACTTCAACTTCCATAAAAAACAAATCCCAGTGATCCATAAATTTGTTTGGAAATTGAAACCTATTTATCACTAGAAAAACAATTGGAGTTCTCATACACAACGCAATATACATATACAAACAACTGATACAATCGACTAACTATTTAATCATGCGTGCTTCCAATGCCACACTTTGAACAAGAAATTATGGTAAAAACAACTAAAGAAATTTAACTAAAACTACTTATCTTCAGCAGTAAAATCAGGCTCTGCTGGCTTCTGAAGCAGCATCGGCTGTCTTCTCTCTGGCAACCTTGCTCTCCGTGCGCCGTTGCGCCGTAAAGTACGAAGAGCATTAGCAGCAAACCGTGACGCATAGATGGTAGCACCCAAACTAGTTGAGCTCCCACCACCCATGGCTAGTGCGTCTTGCAATCTATTTTCCTCTTCCCGAAGAGACTCTTCAAGCTTCTTTCTACAATGGCGGCGCCACGCTGCTTGTATAAAACAAGCTGCCCAAGTCCTCCATTGATGTGAATAAAACCTAAAAGTATGTCGGAGCTGCTTGCTGTGTAATCGCCTGAATTGAGAGGCAACAAACTTCAAATCATCCGCCGTTAGGGAAAATGCTTCAACTTCTTTGAGGGCTTGAACAGTTCTTGTTGAGATTGGGAGGTTAGACGAGGAATGGGGATCAAGAGCCCAGGTTAGAAGTTCTTCTCCACAAAAGTCACCGGCTTTGAGATAATCTGAATTAAAGAAGCCGGTCCTTCCACCATTTGTGGTCACAGTCAATAACTTTCCCCTCATTATGAACAGCATCTCATCGACTGGGTCCCCCTCTCGAACAATGAAGCTTTCTTCTGTGTAGAGCACCGGTCTTAGACAATCACACATTGCATCCAACAGTTGTTCGTCCATCTTCTCAAACATTGGCACCTTTTATAAAGATTCCAGAAGAATGGATTAGATTTAATTCATGATCTAATAATCGCGGAAGTCTATCTAAACTTGCAAAAAGAATAACCAAAAATGAATTCAATGACGGTATTGTGTGTTCCCTCCCTTTCTCTTGATCCCTAGAAATATATTTCTCTAGTTAAAGAGTAAGTTATACTTCAAGATTTAAAAATGAAAATTGCCTTATCTAAGTAAATTGTGTGATGACCTATGCTCATAAACTCCAAATAGGTTTTGTAGCATCGGAGTACTTGACCCAAGACTGTAAACCTTCCAAACAGTTAGAAAACAAGACATAATAGATCCTATCCACAAAAAATAGGCATTCAATTGCAATTGCACCTAATTCTTGGTACTAGCTATTCTAAACTCTAATTAATGGCTGAAATAGGATTATCAATTAATAAGACAATTTAAGAGTGCAAATAGAAAGCACAAGCCCACAGGAGGTGTTGAAATCACCAATGAGAGTAAAAAAGAAAATTCAAAAAACAAAAGGCAGGAAAATAATAACCAGGAATTAATTTAGCTAAATTGCAACCCGAACTCCGTTCAGACAACAGACCTGTAGCAGCCAAGGCTGAAAGCTATGGAAAGAAGATATACATTATATAATCAACTATACCATTCTCACTCCTTGGAAGGATACATATAAAAAACAGCAGGAGAGAAAAAATAATAATTGAAGAGGCAAAAAAAAACTCACTCTCATGAGCAGAGACAAACAGAGATGGCGCTTTATGTCCCTCCTCAGGTCCTTCGGAAGATTACAGATCAGATTCTGTTCATCAACACCTCTAGTTTCCTGCCATTTGTACTGTTCATACCGTCTAATTCGCTCCCTCAGATTTTCAGGGAGCAAACGGTGGGACATCCACTGTTCTGCATCTCGCCTTTTGACTCTCATCTCCTCCAATCTTACTGCCGTGGATTGCAAATATGTCTGTTACGCCAAAAGTAAATTATTTAGACCATCAAACTACGACTGCCGCAGTTTTTTTATCCTAGCAATCACTTGGCCCCCTAATAATGTAAATCAATCACATTATGGACAGTTATTTAGGACTCCGGTTTATTGGTCTTCGATAAAGATGATATGGTATCTAAGAAGCACAGACATGGACAAATGACACGACACATATACAAACACACTAAAACAAAAAATTTCAAAAAATAAACAACGCGACATGTGGGGAATACATGCAAAATTTATTTTTTATTATATATACTTATTATATGCCATCATATACATAAATATTTCATTCATTTAAAATTAGAATTTCTAAAACTAAAAAAAGAAACGAACAAATCTACATTTTTTTCTTTTTCATTAGATAGAGCTCAAGTCATTTTGTCCAAACTTATAATGTATTTCATGTGTGTCTTAAGCGAAGGACATGAGTCCCCTAAGTGTTCAGAGCGTGTCCAAGACTAAAAGAAATTTTAAACAATAGTAGAACATGTTTGGATATATGTCTGACAAATGTCAATGTCCAAGATGTGTTGGACATGAACATGCTACCTTCTTAGAAGTGTTCATACTTCTTAGGTCCATATCTTTTAAAAATAAAAATGTTAGGAAGGGAGCTATATCAATAACGTTGACATTGTGTACAAAATAGACACCATATATATCCATTTCCTTTCAGGTAGCATTCAAATACGAAATTGCGGAATGCTTATAATTAAAATTACAGAATCTGTCATCAAAGAAACATCATTCTAGCATGGCAAAGACTATAAATATCATCACTGGAATTTTCTAATCTTTGTTTTTACATCCTACTACTACTATAATCTAGCATTTTCTTATGAACTCTCTTCCCCAACTAACTATTTGAGCCTTTTTCAGTTTATGAGTTTCTAACATTCAATGGCTTTTATTGAACCTTATTCTTAATCTTGTTATTATAGAAAAAATAAGATAAAATTAAATAAAATAACCATGATTACACAAAGGGCCTCCTACGCCTTGGGAATCCTTTGACCTTTGTTTACTATTAATTGATATTTAATATTGTAATTATTATTATTTTTAGTAATTTTGTAATTTTAATTTGGTTAGAACCATTGTTGTCAAATCGGGATATGAATTGTGTATCGTCTCTTAATTTTTCTGAATTACATGTCATATCATATTGTGTATCGTAAAATACTTTAATACCATTAGAAATAGGTTGAAAAATAAATATAGTTATAAAAAACAAATATCTTATGAGAATAAAACACTAAACAATGTATAATTATGTCAATTGCAAAAGCAAAATTTCTTAAATTAAATATCTACATGCAGTAATACATATTATCTTCACAAGGCATAAATTAACAAGCAAGATTCTTAAACCATACAATAGATATGTCAAAAAGATCGAAAAATAAACCAAAAAGTATCATTCTCATCTCAAAAATAGCTTTTTTAAAATAAGTTAATGAAAATTTTCGACAATATTAATTTACGTAAAATAATTTGAATATTTTGTTTTTTCAAATTTGCTAAAGAAATTTAAGTATTTATGTAACATATGTATTGCATTATGTATCGCATATCGCATTATGCATCACGTATCATATATGTATAGTAAGATACATTTAATTTAATATACGTATTGATGATAGTATCAATTTCCTTTTGAAAGGTATCGAATCGTAAAATACGTATCGTGAATCGTAAGATACTGACAACACTGGTTAGAACCTTATGCGCATTTAGAATTGCATACAATTGTATTTAATAAGATTGATTTGTTTGACATCAATTTATGAATTCACGTTTTGCATTGAATTTACTTCCAAATTGTTTATTTATGTCCTTTTACATTATGTAATAAGATGTTTAAACCTATGGCTTCTATGAAAAAAGATGTGTAGAATAAAAACATGTTCAATTATTTTATTTATTTAGTTTGTATAATCATTTATGTAGGTTTTACTTTCTGTTTTCAAATATTTCAATACATATCCTCTATTTTATTTTATTTTTCGCTGAAATATTTCTATTTCCAAGCTAACTGAAACAACACATCAAGATGAAATTTTGATCCTTGACTAGATGATGCCGAAACAAAAGCATTTTTTCTTTAGCATTTGAAGAATAGATGATCTGGTGTTATAGTGACTCAAAAATTTGGGTCTAATAATGTGTGCCCCATGACAAGAGTTGACTGCTAAGTCACAATCTTAACCAGGTTTATGTTGTTCCCTACTAGTAACTTAGACACCACAGATTCTCATGTTCACATGCAACAGACTGAAAGCAATAATACAGAAATGTTCAACACCAACCTGCATATTTCCGATAAGGAATGAAAATAACACCAAGCCAGAGATGGAAATGCAAACAGCAAAGCAAATTTCCCATACATAGGTGCTTGTTTCGAGGTTTTGACCAAGAGAACTGCAAAAGTTAACAAGTGAAAACATGATAACAGACTACTTTTATAAGTAATCAACAAGGAATGCGTTTCCATGAATAATCATATGCATACAAAAACATAAGTATCTATCTATATACATAGATATACATGAAATGTATATACTATATACATACACATATACATGTTAATGCAGAAATATCAGCAACAATCATCTATTTGTGTAAAAGCATATGAGAGAGAGAGAGAGAGACTCGGCTTCCATAAGACTGTTCAGCTTCCATAACCGAGTAGATTGCCCATAACACTATTTTCCATGAGCGGAGAAGCATATTGAGATTGATTGTCACTTTGTCCGTCAACATTGGCAGTCTGGCTCTATCATGCTTCCTTTTGTCTCTTCAGCTCTGCAACTTACTAACTTCTTTACCAAGACTCACACCACTATTCGGTTTCAATTTCTTCTTGGAACACTCTCAGTATTTTCTGCTAAAACAGCTTGAGTTTGAGGGGGTGGTGTGAGAATATTGTGAGCATATTAGGATTTACATATATATGGTAGTATATATATTTTGTATATGTTAGGGATTGAGTAAATATTCTACTAGTTTCCTTTTCAGTCTTAGGGTTAGATTGTTACATAAACCGATATACTCTTGTATTTTATACACAATTGAATATGCTATTCTCTTTAGAAAACTTACAGATTTGTGTCTTATCCTTGCACACAAGTGTCAAGAATTGTAGCTGCCCTGCGAAACCAACAACCAGTGCAAAACCTCAAGAAATAAAGACAGACCAGGAAAACAACTCTCAAGAGCTATGAAGCACCAACAATTCAAAATAGGTGCCATTGCCATGTCGGAAACGGAGATGGCAGTATCATGCCACAGGATGTGTCCATTTTTTAAAATAATTTAGTTTTTTCAAGAGATACCCCAAAGTTTTGGGGGAAAAAAAAGTCTTTAATATAGTAGCATTAATAATGAATATTTTAAAATTATATAGGTTCGGCCCCCTAAGATTATTCTCATAGGTGTAGTCCATAACCTATTTAGAGAGATTATTCTCTCTCTCTCTCTTCCCTTCTTCTTCTTCTTCTTCTTCTTTGTTTTGGTTGTCTCTCCTCTCTTCTCGTTCTTCTTATTTTTCAATTTTTCCTATTTTGTTGTTTCGGTTCTCTGTTCAACTTAGTCTTTATTTTATTCTCTCTTCCTCTGCTCCAAATCTATTCCAAAACTTCTTCTCTTCTCGTTTCTCTATTTTGGTTTTATTATTATTATTATTATTGTTATTATTATTATTATTATTCAGCCCTTAAAGAATTGAATAACCGGCTTAGGATATGATGGAATTACTTGTTCTTGTTATATTTTTCATATTTTGTGTTGATAGGAATTGATATTGCATTCCATACATTTGTTACGAAATTTTTTATTATATATAAGAACCATGGAGCCTAATGCACAAGTCTCTATCTATAACAATGCCACACTACTTGTTGACCCAAGTAACATGTGGATCCACCAACATGACCCCAAAACTTAAGCCCAAGTTACTTAGTAGTAAGCTAGTAGTGCCTTATACGCTCAAGATCAACCATGCAAACGGGGTTGTTACACTAGCTTATCTAAATTTAGTTTGTTTTTTTATCTTAAATTAGCGTTAGTATTCATTAATTTTGATTGTTTACAAATGCAATATTTATATAAATAGAAAGTTTATTTATTTATTTTTGGTCATATCCCCATATCATGTCTTGTCCTGATTTTTGGAAATCGCCATATTCCATGTTCGTATTTGTGCTTCCTAGCTCAAAAGTTTACCCCACCCCAAGTAGAACCCTTTGGCCACCAAGTCTCTCCTAAGGGGAGGTCTTAGGTTACACCTTGGGAGTGAAATGGGAGGCAAGACTTAAGTGCTTGCAAGGAGAGGTTGGGGAGTTTAACTCCCCCAGCTGCTAATCTAACAACTAACTTTCACCGATCAAAAGGAGTTTACCCCAAGTATTCAAAAACACTTTGTTGCCTACAGTCATTAAAGGTAAAGGAATTTCAGGAACAACCTCCTGGTAAAGGGGGTTCAGAGACAACCCCCTAGCAATTGTGACAACCACCCTCAATTTTCAGCCAAAGATCTCTTTTGGTAGTAACCATCTATAAAATGCAATCATGCCAGTAGGATTTCTCTTCCAACACCAAACATCTATCAATAACAAGTGAAAAGAAAGCTACAGCTTTACATGTGCAATATGTATAATGCATTATCATGTGCAGTTATACATCAACAAAAGCGATAAATTCTGGGAGCATGAACCAGCAGTGTACCAGTGTACATGGCACAATTACCATTTGTGAAATACTGACTATCATTTGATTTTCTTGGCATGCTTTGAGAGATGTGCAACCACCAAAATATGGAGTTGTATGCAAACTAATTCATTAAGGTAGGATAACATGTTTCTGCTTGTTGATCAAAAATGGTAATAAGAACTACTTTAGTAAAATGACTGCATCAACAGAGGAGCTTATATGTTCATACCTCAGATTTTGCAGGCCCCACCAAAAGCAGTAAAAGAATTTCTGTGGAAAATCTGTTGATCCAACAACACCAGATTGAAGTGCATCGAGAAACATTCCAAAATCAAACTGTGCAGCATTAGCTGTCTGTATGGGGCAGGAATCATTCAGAAAAGTTTTAAAAGCTGCGCCATTTTCACAATACACCGAAGAATTGACACATTCAGTCTGATTTCCACAGGCCTTTTTCCAGCATGTAGTTTCTCGTTCTATAGAAAACAGGTACCAAAAGGCTCCTAGTACCTAAAAGACATTAAATCACTAAATGATCAGCAAGACTGGTAAGAAGAGAAAGAATAGAAGAACATGTAATATAAGACAAAATCATTTTGTAAATTTCTAATATACACTTCATAGAAACTAGGATGTATAATGTATATACAGACCAAAGTCATTGGTACAATGGAAATCCATTTAAAACTTTAAAACCAAAGAAACACTGAACAAAATTAAATGGCTATACATTTCAGTCGAGTTATAAGTGTTCAAGATCTTTGAGAAAGCCAAAATTTGTAAAATGAATCTTGTGACCAAACTTACATGACTGGCAAGCATGTAAAGAAAGAGATTAAATGCAGCTCCTGCCCATGCAGTTTCAGTAAGTATGCCAGAGGTTCTTGTGACTTCTTTGTACAAAGGATAAATTCGAAGAAGCCTTGGTATATATTGGAAGAAAACAACAAACTTCAACAAGTTCTTTGTATTCAAAGATGTTGACCCTCTCATGTGTGGAATGATAACTAAAATAACTACCTGGAAAGATTACAACAAAATTAGAAAGACACATAAATATAAGTCATGCAAATTAATTCTTAGGCCTCGTTTGGGAACAGGCTAATTTAGTAACTTTTTGGCTATTTGGCTAAAATATGAGCTAAAAAAAACTAGTATGTTTGGGATGACTTTTTGGCTTTTTACGAAAAGATGTGCAAAAAGTAGAGAGAAAAGAGAATCTTTGATTTTTTGGTATAGGTTGTTGGCTTTTTGGCTAATTTAGTAACTTTTTGACTTTTTGGCTAAAAAAGAGGGTTCCTAAACGAGGCCTTAATCACAAGATATCAACTTCTCTTCGAACATGAAATTTTTGGAAAGAGTAAAATTCTTTAAAAAAAATGCCATTACAAACAACATATGCACTCATCACACCACATGCATTAGAATTTAGAGAATCATACCACTCCCCAAACTCACTAACCAATCATTGGCCACTCCTGCTCAAGAGATTGCACATACATATGACCCACACAATTTGATATTACTTACATAATACTTTGGACTGGTCTAAGAGGCAGGCCTAACATAATACTATTCTTCGACTGACTCTATAGCTAAAGCAATTTGACCGGATCCATAGCAAGGTATGACCTGTTAATTCATACAATAGTTGTACCTTGCTCTAGACCCAGCCATTACTACTCCGACAATAGGATTATCCTTATGTTTTGTGCAATTGATCTTTATAGAATAGTAAAGAACACGAATTGGCTGCACAAATCTCTCTTACCTGTGGCAGCGGAAGAACTGCAAAAATGTCAATAATGAGGTATGAAGACAAATATCTCTTTGCTATTGCCCAAGCATCTTTAACCAAAACACCTCTTCCAAATACACGAGAAGATGGAGCAATGAAACCAGTTCGGAATTGAAAGATAATATGAAGTATATAAAATATATCAGTAAAGAAACGCAAGACAATAGCCGTGATCTCCAACTTTTTGTCCAACCCAAGGCACTTCTTATCATCATCGATCACAGGAATGTAAAAGAACAAAGGATCAAGAGAAACAGCGAGCACACATGACAATACAAATATCTTATTCCACTTCTGAAGAAATGGCCCTTGTGGGTCAAGAATTTTCTTCCTTGAACCCAAGCGTTTACCCGCAATGTTACTTAAAGAATAGGATTTCAATGATCTGGTTAAGCATCTAATCCTTTCAGAACCACATTCCAAGCCTCTTTGAAACTTATCTGTAACTGAGTTTACTGTTGTTTTAAAACTTCCCAAATGTATTCCATGTTTTGTGGTGAATTGCTCCCCGGTACTGTGCTCTGAGGTCCAGTCCTGAAACCTAAAAGATAGAATAATAAATGAAAAGATAAAGCCAGAACTAGCAAAAGAGAATACAAGTGGAGTCAAGGAGCATCAAGAACATCAACTCCAAAGGAAGGCAAACAGGACCTTTAGCTATGGTAAAAGCAGCTAACATAAGAAACCAAAAATAAAAACGAAACTAAAAACCCAAACACTAGTTGCCGTTTGGTAATGTTTAAAGTTCACTATTGTTCGTTTACAAAAAGCATTAAACGTTTTCACGTTTATTTTTCATTAATAATTAATAAAAAAAAATAAAAATAAAAAATAAACAAACAAACAAACCAAACACTTGTTTGATACCCACCTAAAAAAAACACTTGTTTGATGCAGCACCCATCACTTATGAAGCACCAATACTTCAAAACAAGCGCCGTGTCCCTGTCGGACACACAAACACTTAGGGGACACGTATGGGACACACCACATGGCGTGTCTCCTTATTTAATTAATTTATTTTCAGGAGACACACAAGGGACATACCAGGTTGTCTTTCCCCATTTTACTGATCAATGTTGAATATTGAATGTTGAATGTTGAATGTTGAATGTTTGTTATTTTTTTTCTTAAATTTAAATACTTAATAGATCATCCATAAAAAAATGGACAAATTACATCCCACCCCCTGAGGTTTGTATTTTCATAACAATTTGCCCCCTGAGGTTTATATTTCATAACAATTTACCCCTAATTTGTTATGCAAATATAGCATTCAGGGAGGAATTTGTAATTTCTCAAACCTCAGGGGGTATTTGTAATTTAGCCAAACCTCAAGGGGGTATATGTAATTTGCCCTAAAAAAATATATAAATTGTAAGTGTTAATTTAAAAATACTTTTTTATAATTAAAAAAAAATAGAATTGGAGTTAATTTTTGTCAATATTGATTGTTTGTGGATGCAATATTAATCTAGATAGAAAATAGAAATATATGAAAACATATTTTATTGTCGTATTCTTGTCGTGTTTGTGCCCCTATTTTTTTGAAATCGCCGTGTCCCGTGTCCCGCGTCCACGTCCGTATCTGTGTCCGTGCTTCTTAGCCCATCACCACCAACCACCACCGACGAGCTTAGGCGATTGAATGTCGCTGCATGTAACCTCTGGCTATGTTCTGGTGACCCTCCGGCCACCTCATGACCTCCAGCGACACTAAAACCACCAACTCTAGCGGCCATCCCCCATCATCAATCACCACATCCATCCAACCTAAACCACTGGCTATCATCTCCGACACCTCACCAAACATGTTTCTCTATTTATATTTTTTTTTGTTCTCAAAACTTTTGTATACACCAAACAACTTCCTATCTTTTGTAAATAGAAACTAGGAAACTAATAACACTATTAAATAAATTTTCATTCATTCATTCCTCCCTCGCCCACACCCTCCACTCCAGCCACCACTCAGTATTTACCAGAACATCCCCTAGCCATCGTCTTCTGGCCACCAATTCCTGCGGCCACCAACCATCACCTCTTGCTAGCAACGACCTCTGACCACCATCTTCGGCAGTCAGCAACTACTTTCAACCACCACCCCTGACCACCCCTCTCACTTATTTTCAAACCAAGTTTTTAAAATACATGTGTACCAAACATATTTTTTGTTAAACTGTTAACGTTACCAAACGGCACCAAACTTACAACGTTTATTTTTCATTAATAATTAATAAAAAAAATAAAAATATAAAATAAACAAACAAACAAACCAAACACTTGTTTGATGCAGCACCCATCACTTATGAAGCACCGATACTTCAAAACAAGCGCCGTATCCCTGTCGGACACACAAACACTTAGGGGACACGTATGGGACACACCACATGGCGTGTCTCCTTATTTAATTAACTTATTTTCAGGAGACACACATGGGACATACCAGGTTGTCTTTCCTCATTTTACTGATCAATGTTGAATATTGAATGTTGAATGTTGAATGTTTGTTATTTTTTTTCTTAAATTTAAATACTTAATAGATCATCCATAAAAAAATGGACAAATTACATATACCTCCCTCGAGGTTTGACTAAATTACAGATATCTCCCTGAGATTTCGAAAATTACATCCCGCCCCCTGAGGTTTGTATTTTCATAACAATTTGCCCCCTGAGGTTTATATTTCATAACAATTTACTCCTAATTTGTTATGCAAATATAGCATTCAGGGAGGAATTTGCAATTTCTCAAACCTCAGGGGGTATTTGTAATTTAGCCAAACCTCAAGGGGGTATATGTAATTTGCCCTAAAAAAATATATAAATTGTAAGTGTTAATTTAAAAATACTTTTTTATAATTAAAAAAAATAGAATTGGAGTTAATTTTTGTCAATATTGATTGTTTGTGGATGTAATATTAATCTAGATAGGAAATAGAAATATATGAAAACATATTTTATTGTCGTATTCTTGTCGTGTCTGTGCCCCTATTTTTTTGAAATCGCCGTGTCCCGTGTCCCGCGTCCACATCCGTATCTGTGTCCGTGCTTCTTAGCCCATCACCACCAACCACCACCGACGAGCTTAGGCGATTGGATGTCACTGCATGTAACCTCTGGCTATGTTCTGGTGACCCTCCGGCCACCTCATGACCTCCAGCGACACTAAAACCACCAACTCTAGCGGCCACCCCCCATCATCAATCACCACATCCATCCAACCTAAACCACTGGCTATCATCTCCGACACGTCACCAAACATGTTTCTCTATTTATATTTTTTTTTGTTCTCAAAACTTTTGTATACACCAAACAACTTCCTATCTTTTGTAAATAGAAACTAGGAAACTAATAACACTATTAAATAAATTTTCATTCATTCATTCCTCCCTCGCCCACACCCTCCACTCCAGCCACCACTCAGTATTTACCAGAACATCCCCTAGCCATCGTCTTCTGGCCACCAATTCCTGCGGCCACCAACCATCACCTCTTGCTAGCAACAACCTCTGACCACCATCTTCGGCAGTCAGCAACTACTTTCAACCACCACCCCTGACCACCCCTCTCACTTATTTTCAAACCAAGTTTTTAAAATACATGTGTACCAAACATATTTTTTGTTAAACTGTTAACGTTACCAAACGGCACCAAACTTACATAACATGAATGATCCATAACTCAAGAAAACAATCTAGAGAAACCATTTGTTAGCATCTAACACATCATATACTAGCCCAACAAAAATCATTGCAATTGCAATAGAGTTCATGGGTATTCAAATTTACATTTTACAATATCTTCCACAACTAAGCAACACCAGAACAGAAAATTGATAGTAAATATTTTACAGTAAAAACTATCAAAGAATAACCATAGGTTGATGGAATACAGCATTGGGCATAACATTAAGGATTGTAAGAGCTTGAATTTAATAGATCTAGGCCTTTTGTAGTTTGTAATTTAGTAAAGACCTGCTTAAAATAAAAAAGTGCATTAAGAAAATAATAAAAACACTGTATAACTAAAACATGCAAGAAAAGGTGATGACGCCACATAGTTGCAAGTATTTAATAGAATGTTTATCAGATTTAAAAGAGAATATTTAATCCTCTTATATAAAATACACACAAAACTAGCCCATATAGAAACCTTTTTTTTTTTTATAAGCAAAAATAGCCCACATAAAAATTATTAATAAATAAAATCCAACAAGTATAAGACTTAAAAGTATCAATGGGCTAATTAACACTTTTGAATTCACATGCCTAGACCACTGACGTTCACATACCTAGACCACTGACGTATTATGAAGCACAAGTATTCCAAAAATGTTGTCGTACTTGTACCGAGTACTGGTATGCATACCGATAGGGTTGCATGCCTACTAGGTACTCGAAATACGTACCGGATACTTTTTATACATTTTTTGGGAGTTGGGTACGAGATGGGTACACCGTATACAAAGTTATGGGATATTGGTGGAGATACGTTTAATTTATTAGAGAGTTTTGATTTACTTGAAATTACAAATACTTGACTTAAAGTGCCAAAGATGAAAGATAATACATTCAATGATGAAGTTGATGGAAGTGAAACTTGAAATTTCAAGTTTCCAAATTTTACTTAGCTTGCTTTTAGAATGAAACTTTGCTTTGAAATTTCTCCTATTTAATGGTATTAAAATTAAAATAGGTTATGGACTTTGGTTTAATATTGGCATTGTTAAACTATGATTTCTCTTTTGCTTTCGTAATTTCTCCTTTTAGTTTTAGTATTGAACTTTGATTTGTAAGTTGAATCTCAAACTATAACTTATAAAAAATAAAAAATAAAATTATTGATGGCTTACCCATATCCTATTTTTTTTAGGTTTTGCCGTATCGGCATACCTATAACGCACCCATACCAGTATTCGTACCCGTACTTGCACCCGCACCTGCACTCGTGCTTCATAGTTGACATGGGCCCTAGGCCTACAATGTTTAGGGTTGAGCAAAAAAATTTGAAAAAATCACAAACCAATACAATCTACCAAACCGGACGGTTTGGTTTGGTTTTTGCAATACACGTTTCAGTCTTGATTCTTAAAATATTGGAATTGTACTTCATGGCTTGGTCCATGGTTTTTTAGCTATAAATCTAGTTTAGAACTGAACTGGTCCTTTTACATATACACATGCAAATATATATATATATATATATATAATTTGTTACCTACTATAAAACTCAAATATCTTAAAAAAAATTATAAACATTCAACGTTCATCAAAAACACTATATAAAATTGGAGAAAAGACAACTTGGCATGTCCCTGTGTGTCCCCGGCGTGTCCCCTGAAAATAAATTAATTAAATAAGGGGACACGCCATGTGATGTGTCCCATACGTGTCCCCGTCGTGTCCGTATGTCCGATAAGAATACAACACTTGTTTTGAAGTGTCGGTGCTTCATAGCCTCATGTGCAACCCCGTCTTGCATGTGAAAATGAAAATATCAAACAGGTAGATAAACAAACTGAAATCGGGAAGACAAGTATAAACGGCGAAACTTGAACTCAAAACCTCTCTTAACCTGAGCGTTGTCACCATGTTAGATGACCTGTTGTCTTAGAAGACGCTATTGAACATTGAACAATAAAGAAAAATAAGACCTAGGTTCAAGCAAAATATATATAGGATACTAGCAGGCAGCAACAAATATAAAAAGTCAGTGAACATGGTGTATACAAGACATAAAGGGTTGAAAAACTAACCTTACAGTCTTCTCCTGCTTGTAATTCATATCTTCAGCATACATAAGATGCAGTTCCACAATAGACGATCAACCTCTGAATATAACTAATAAAAACAGGGAGGTTCTTTATATACTAAAATTGCTACCAGTACATCATCCACAGAGTGCTGAATGCCAATACCTGGAGACATTATGACAACAAGCCCTGCATTAAAATTTAAATCATCTCCATTCTTCACAACTACAATCTAACCTGTCTATGCCATACAGTAAAATGTCTGATATATATATATATATAACAGCTTCGAGAACAACACAGACACTAACAATACTAAAGCTCCTATGGCTGAAAAGTGATAACAAAAGAGGTGGTAAAAAATTATTTTCTTCAAGGCAAGAAATAATATCCTTAGACATGTATTTCTACATAGAGGGTTGAGTAATTACAACACAAGATGGCTAATCCATTGACATGTATCTGTACAAAAAAAGCATGACAAGCAGGTAAAGATATACATCAAGCATGACAAGCAGGTAAATATATACATCAAGTAGTCCTAAAGCACAACTTGGATAAAACAGTCACAGGTAATATATATCTACAAAGGCCTTTTTGATTAACAGTATTAATAGTGAAATGATTAATAATCCCATGAATTGGTATAGGATTAGTTATCCAATTAAATTAGTGAGATAACCATTTAATATGTATTCATTTTTATTTCCTTTCATTATGATCCTCAACCCCTCTTAATATTAAAAATTCGTCAATTTTGTCTGATTGAATGCCCGTCGTACGTGTAATCCAATAAATAAAATTTGCAATCAAACATGGAATTGTGATCCCATGCACTAACAACCCCAATCTTATACTATAATCTTACTAATCAAACATGCCCAAAAGGTACCAAAGTTACTTATAAGCCATTGTTATACCACAGGTACTTCCCCAACCGCTATAACCCACTGGTTAAAAATTAAAAACAACCAAAAATAAATAGACAAAATTGTTATACCACAGGTACTTCCCCAACCGCTATAACCCACTGGTTAAAAATTAAAAACAACCAAAAATAAATAGACAAACATATTAAGAATTTTTTTATTTTTTATTTTATTTTACATAACCCACTTAAAAACAAACAAAAATAAATAGACAAGCATTTTTTTATTTTTTTTTAAATTTACTTTTTTCAAAACTTGCCTGCAAACTTTCCAACAACTTTAGAATAGAATAAAAAAACGACAAAATAAACACATGAACGAAATTTTTTTCAAAACTTGAGAATCAAAATCAATAGAAAAAAATTCAACAATTTCTTCAAGAAGAATAAACAAGAAGAAATCCTGCCTTTGCAGAACAAGTTTTGAAACACAAACAACCTTATAATTGTAATCCTAAAATTAAAAAATAAATAAATTAAAAGTTTAAGAAGATGATTATGATGGTGAAAACTAGATATGTAGGAGCGGTGGAATTATTGACAGAGATCGAATACATTTGTAGGCTTACATACATATCCAAGTTACGATGACAGCAAGTAACACTTTGCTTCATTTATGGGAACAAAAGCAGTTATTGATAATGCAAACAAACATGCTATAAGAGGAAAATTATACAATCCCAGAGTAGCACATATTCGTTAATCACACAACACAAATAATCAATATTCCACCTTCTACACCAATCATCCTACCATGGACTAAGAACCCCCAAAACCTTCCGTCAAAAGAATATACAAATGTAAACCTTGTTCAATTCCATTCCAATCATCAAAATGTATCAGTTACCAAAAAAAGGGGGGAATTTTTTTAAAAAATTCCACTACACATATTGCACAGAGAAATGCACGGCCACAATTGAACTAATTCTAAAACAGGAGGAAAATCATACAAACAAAAAAATAGAATTAACAAAGACTAAAATTAGAGAATGGAAGCATAAAGTACGAGAGACGCACAGAGGTGTGAGGTAATGATGATTTGATCATACCAACTCAAAGAGTTTGAGACAAGAGAGTTTCGGTTTCCTTGAAGTAGAAGAAGAAGAAGAGAAGAACAGAAGGGTCAAAGAGGAAGGGGTGTATAAGTGGTGGAAAGCCGATGAGGAGGGAAGGTTCGCGGAGACTTCTACGGCAATGATGGTTTTGAATACTTGTACCAGAAGAGAGAGAGAGAGAGATATGGTGAAGAAAAAGGAGGGTCGGAGGGAGAATTTATTCCCAAGTGTTATTTATCTTTTTTGAGAAGATAATTGAACCCTCGTCGAAGGCTGGGAAGTGCAAAATAATTTATTTTTTTATTTTTTTTTATCACATTATCTTTTTATTTTTTTGTATATTTTTTTATAAAAAATTAAAAAATGTACTTATTTAGGTCATCACAAATAACTATAAATAGTGTAGCGAATTGCTCTTCGGGCAATAAATTATTTCTCCTTGGATGGAGAGAAGTTTAGGGTTAGTTTGGAATAAATTAAATAATATTGGATGGAGAGAAGTTTAGGGTTAGTTTGGAATAAATTAAATAATATAAAAAGTCAAAAAGTTACTATTCTATTTAAGTCACATTATCTTATTTAAATCACGTTACTTCTCTAACATATCACATCAAATCCAATCCATATAAATCAATAAATCAAAAAATATACTTTTTTAGAACATCTTAAACCAATCTTTAATCTACTTAATAATGTTAGGAACCTAAAAATTCTATTAAATATTTTATATGAGTGTAAATCTCACACAATATGAGTCCAGATGAATCCTCTGCCTATGTAAAATATTTAGTAAAATTTTTAAGATGTCTAATGTTTTTTATTCTCTTGGGTTGTGGGCTCTCATTGAATTGGTAACTTTTCAAAAAGGGTACCATTCTCTCCGGTTAGTTGCTGTCCGGTCTTTCCAGTAACTGCAATCGTTAGTTATCCTACTTATCCATTTTTGTTCTGTTTGATTTGATTTATTGAGCAATCGAGGGTTGCTAGTTTAAACACACACACCCACACACACACACACACACACACACACACTGACACACTGTTACAGGAAGCCTCAAAACTCTTGGTGCAATGTCCATTATCAGTGTTTCAATGCTTTTGGCATCCCTGACTACCAAAAGCTTTAAAAACTCTTGTTACAATGTCCATTATTGTATTGGATTGGACACTAAGCTAAAATCTTCCTACCCTCCAACGTATTCACAAAAATCCTCTCCTGTTTCCTTCATAACCAGTACCTAGAAAGGAAGACTTAAATGGATTCACAGAGCTCACCCAAGTGAAAAGGTGGTTGACTTCTCAACCTAAATGTAGTTGACTACTCAACCTAAATTTTAGGGCCTCAAGTCCCTTTCGTGTTAAGAAGAAGAGGGAAGAAAAAGGAAGAAGAAGAAGAAAAAGATGGTGGGTTTGTGGGGTTGAGAGAGAGAGAGAGAGAGAGAGAGAGAGAGATATGGTGAAGAAAAAGGAGGGTCGGGGGGAGAATTTATTCCCAAGTGTTATTTATCTTTTTTGAAAAGATAATTGAACCGTCGTCTAAATATAAATAGTGTAGCGAACTGCTCTTCGGGCAATAAATAATTTCTCCCTGGATGGAGAGAAGTTTAATCTACTTAATAATGTTAGCAACCCAAAAATTATATTAGAAATTTTATTAAATATTTTATATGGATAATAGAGGGTTCGAGAAAGGAGTTGGAAAATTCGAATATCTTCAAGATCTTTGAAGAACAACTTCGAATTCTCTAGAATATGATGAGAGGCTTAGATTCTTCAATAATCTCAACTTAGGAACACAAAAAAACAAAGGAGATGATGGAGATAAGAGATTGGGTGAAGAAGAAGGCAAAATGGCTAGAGAGAGAATAATGGCAAGGCTCTCCCAGGGATCTCCCACTTTCACTCTCAAGGTTGATAATGGAGGAGAAATTAGTTCTTTCCCAAGAGTTCAAAAATCTCCAAAATCCCATCTCTTGTAAAGCTATGGGTGGGTGCTATTTATAGGCACCTCATGATCACACAATATGAGTTCATACGAATTCTCTAACTATGTAAAATATTTAGGGTTAGTTTGAGAAATGGGTTGATTTTTTAATTTTTTAAATTTTTTGACTATTTTAACCTGAGTTAAAAAGTTTAGTTTGAGAAAGACTTTTTTACTTTTTGATTTTTTAAACTTTTTTTGTGAAAGAAAAATGTAATAATTATAAGTTGAATATGATATTTTGTCTTTTATAACTAAAATAACATATTTTATCTTTTATAACTAAAGTAATCAAAAAAAACTCCATATTCTTCTTCCCAAACGGTGCCTTAGTAAAACTTTTAGAATGCCTGATATTTTTTATTCTTTTGGGTTGTGGGCTCTCATTGAATTGGTAACTTTTCAAAATGGGTACCATTCTCTCCGGTTAGTTGCTGTCCGGTCTTTCCAGTAACTGCAATCGTTAGTTATCCTACTTATCCATTTTTGTTCTGTTTGATTTGATTCTGGAAAGTCCCGTTTGACAGGTGCCTTTTTATTTTGAATAAAAGAAGTTAGAAAGGCACTAAAAAAAAATCAACAAATTTAATTTTATTAGCAAAATGTCACATTATATATTAATTATTTTTTCTCTCCTAATTATGAATTTAATTAAACAAATTATTTTAAACATATAATTTTTTTACTTTATAAAAATTTTAAAAAAATAAAAAAATCACTAAAAATATCAAATACAAGCACAAAATAAGTAGAATGAAATGGAAGGTAGAGATTGTGTTCGTTGGTCACAGGGTGCTCTCTTAATGGTCTTAAATTCAAAAAAAAATTAAGTACAAATAATTTATTGAGGTCACTCTATATAGGATTTTGTTCCAACTTTAATTAAACTTCCTCTTAATAGACAATGAAAGTAGTCTTTCGAATTAATTTGTCTAGTAAATATTGATTTATCAAAACAGGGAAAAAAATTCACTCACATAAATTTCATAGCCATCGTCTATTGCCTCTCTTTAAATCAACACCAAAATCATAATTTAACACAAATAGATTTGAAGAAATAGTAGGTATAGAAATAGGGTGATTGAGGTCTCGTTTGGGAATAGGCTAATTTAGTAACTTTTTAGCTATTTAGTTAAAATATGAGCTAAAAAAAACTAGTATGTTTGGAATTACTTTTTGACTTTTTACGAAAAGATGTGCAAAAACTAGAAAGAAAAGAGAATCTTTGACTTTTTGGTATGGATTGCTGGCTTTTTGGCTTTTTTAGTAACTTTTTGGCTAAATGGGCTAGTTCTCAAACGAGGCCTGATTCTCTCGCTAACCTTTAGTAAGCGCAGTAAAGGGCGATAGTCAAGGATTTGGATAATCATACACTTATATTATGTTTGATTGGATGATTTGATGAGGGGATTTGAAAAGAAAAAAATGAAAAGATGTGTAAAATTAAGTGAAATATAGATATATTTTATTCACATTTTACTTAATTTTTTTTTTCTTTTTCTTTTCTAAATCATTTCTCAAATTCCCGCAATCAAATATAAAGTTACACTATAATAATGAAGAACAAGTGATAAAGCCATAATGTATGATGTTGATACAGGAAACCCTCATTCTCGTTACTGATGAAATTGTAGTCATTGGTGTGGTGATGGCATCAATTATTTTTATCAGTGACATTAGATATAGTTTAATTTATTAAATATAAAATATATATATATATATATATATTAAGAGCAAAACCTAGGTTGACGTTGTCAGCCGTTTGTGCAGTTTGGTACTTTCACTCTAAGGGCATTTGGGTCATTTAACATGTGGCCACCTCACAAAAAAGCCAAAAATCAAAAAAATCCAAAAAGTCTATCCCAGATCTAGTTTTTAAGCCCCAAGCTAAAATAACCAAAATGCCAAAAAGTCAACTCACTTCCCAAACCACACCTAAGACTCCGTTTGGGAAGGCAGATTTGGGCTAAAATAGCAAGTACAGTCCAAAAAAGGCTAAATTAGCCACTAGCAGACAAAAGCCCATAAAATATAAATAAATAAATAAACAATGATTAATAAATAAAAAATGATTAAAAAAAATTATCATATTTTAACTTAAAAGTTACTCTTTTTTTTTTATTATTTTGGTCTTACATCTTCTTAAATACATTCTCAAACAAATTCTTTATTATGCCTCCGTTTGGGAAGTGGGTTAGCTTTTTAACTTTTTGGCTTTTTTAGCTATTTTAACCTAGGTTAAAAAGTTTGGTTTGGGAAGGGCTTTTTGGCTTTTTGACTTTTTTGCCTTTTTTTTTAGAGAAGAATGTAATGATTATGGGTTGGATGTGATATTTTATTTTTTGTGACTAAATTAGCCTATTTTGTCTTTTGTGGCTAAAATAGCAAAAAAAGCCCCGTTTCTCAATACTATTTAAATATTATTTTAATCATTTTAATTTTGAATTATTTTTTATAAATTCAACATAATTAATTCCAAAATATGAAAAGTAATATATATATATATATATATTCTTAATATTTGGCTAGGGTAAACTACTAGCTAGTACATTTGTTCAGTCAAAATCATCAAAAATATAATAGCTAACTTAATAATTAATTTGATAGAAGTGAAATTTAGTAATTTGTTTACTATTTTAGCCAAAAAATAAAAATAACTAATTTGATAGAGATGCTCTTAGACTCCGTTTGTATTTATGGATTTGAAATGCATGGACTTAGCATAATTCATTTAAAAAAATTAAGAAGAATAACTTAAATTTAATAGTTTATTAAAGAATTTGAAGATTATATTAAAGAGTTCTATTATGATACATTTAGTTGTCTTTTGGCAAAAAAAAATTTAGTTGGCTTTTTGGAGTTGAGATTTTTTTATCTTGAGAATAAAAAGTTTGTTTGGGTTGACCTTTTTAGATTTTATGAGAGAAAAAATGAAATGATTATAGTTTGAATATGACATTTTATCTTATTAATTTTTTAGTCTATTTTGTCTTTTAATGGTTAATTTAGCCCCAACTATAATTGCCAAACGAAGCCTTAAAATACTTTTACAAAAGTAATTATTTGAAATCATATTAAGAATTTCCCTTTTAGCTATGAAGCTATTACTAAAATAATTTTGGAAAATTTATCCATAAAACACATATAGAGGAATGTTGATCTATTTAGTCTTAAGAGTTTTCTTATTAATCAATTAGTCTTTTTTTTTATTATTTTGGAAAGCTGTATTTATTTGAT